ATCCCTACAATGTTAAACTTAGTATAACAATTTGCCAAGGTCAAGAACACTATATACCTCCAACACTATATACCTCCAACTTCCACTCTTACTAGTTATTAACTACATAATTAATGATAATAATGTCCTTTAATGAGATAAAATTACTAAGAATAATCAAAATATTCTGCTCACTTTGGCAATCAAGTCTTGCTGTATAAAGTACCTTTCAGGAATAAGCACTAAAAAGTTAAACTACATCTCTATTTCTAATGTTGGCTTCTCCTTCCAGTCTCATATTACGAATTGTGCATATAAGACATGCTCTTGACAGTATCAGCAACCCATATGACACTACTTATATAGAAAATAGAGAACTCTACTGGCTTTCATTAAAAACTACAATTTTCAGGCTGGGAAGGTGGCTCAGTGGTAGAGTGCTTGCCTTGCATGCATGTGACCCTGGGTTTCATTCCTTAAAACCACATAAGCAGAAAACGCTGGAAGTAGTGTTATGGCTCAAGTGGTAGAGTGCTAGCCTTGAGCTGAAGAGCTGAGGGACAGCGCCCAGGCTCGGAGTTCAGACCCCACGACTGACAAAAACAAAACAAGACAACAACAAAAAAAAAAACCTACAATTTTCAACACTTATATTAGGGAAACAAACACTATTTTCTAACTAGTTCTCCCACACAAATCTTGTGGGTTTTCTTAACCTTTGTGGAGTTAGAATTTTCTAATACTGTCATATCCTACCAACAAATATACTGTTTATGCTACATGTCACATTTCTTTTCCTTTTTTCTTTTGTGTGATCCTGGAATTTTGATCTCAGGGCCTGGTGCAGTCCCTAGGCTTTTTTGCACAGGGCTAGTGCTCTATCACTTCTGCCACAGTTCCACTTCTGCCATTTTGGTATTTAACTGGAGACAGAGGAGTCTCAGGCTTTCCTGCCTAGTTGGCTTTGAACTGTAATCCCCAGATGTAAGGCTCCTAAGCAGCTAAGATTACAAAAGTAAAGCACCAGGGCCTGGCCTATTTTCCATTTCTATAGTAAACAACTATAGAAATTTATTTATTTGCTAATAAAAGCAACAACTAACTGGGGCATTGGTGGCTCACGCTTGTAATCCTAGCTACTCAGGAGGCTGAGATCTGAGATCGTGGTTCAAAGCCAGTCCAGGCAGGAAAGTCCGTGAGACTCTTATCTCCAATAAAAACCATTAGAAAACCGGAAGTGGCACTGTGGCTCAAATGATAGAGCGCTCGCCTTGAGCTGAAGAGTGCAGGGACAGTGCCCAAGCCAAGTTCAAGCCCCACGACCGACCAAAAAAAAAAAAATAAAAGCAATAACTACTACATCATAATCACAAAATATCTCCAATTCATTGAAGTCCATGCAGAGCGGGCCTTTCATTCCTACCTGATCTTGGCCTATGGCACCATCTGGTGGACAGCAACAGAAAGTAACCACTTGCTACCTGATTTCTTTCCCCTTCAGAGAACAGGAAAGCTGGCTTACTGGGTTGCTTGTATTAATAGCTCAACAAAGTTAAACTTAATTTTAAAAAAATCAAAAAATCAATTTTTAAAAAATCCTTCCTATTTACATCCAGGTAGTACAAAAATTATCTCCATGTTGTAACAGATCCATAAAAGTAAACAACCGAAGCCAGACGCTTCACACTTTGGGGCTGAGATCTGAGGACTGAGGTTCAAAAGCCAGATCTGGTAGAAAAAGTCTGTTAGACTTTTGTTTCCAATTAACTAGCAAAAAGCCAAAAATATCAATATCCATGGTACTGTTTCATTAGTATATATATTTGTAACATACAACATACATACATATAATATATACATATATCATATATATATATATATGTGTGTGTGTGTAGCAACATAGGCTGTAATACTTTAACTAGACTTTAGAAGAATGAGCTTTGGGCACTATACTGTAATACAACAATACAATTTCTAACAGAGATTCAAAATCTTCCTTGTCTGAAATGATCTCTTCTCCCCTGAGCACTCCCCAGACACTAATGTTACTCAAATCACAACCCAAAGAACTCAAAGAACACTTCTCCTCCATTAAAGTATTCACTTTAACTGGACATGATTTTTCTTTTCTCAGCTTGTCTGTAATTATTTATGTTATCTGTATATATATTCTTATGTTGTTTGCATGTGCAATTTACTGTTTGAATCAGAAAACATTTTAAAGACAGTCTGGAAAACTTTAAACATGAATAGTTTTAATCAAAATAATCTTAGTCAGGCATCAGTGATTCATGCCTGTAACAGCTACTTAGGAGGCTAAGATCTGGAGGAATGAGGACCAGGCCATCCCAGGGAAAAATCCATGAGATTCTATCTTCAAAATAACCAGCAAAAAGCTGGATTGGAGGTATGACTCATGTGGCTAATTGCCAGCCAAGTACAAGTGAGTGAATGCAAACCTGAGTCTGAATTGAGTTCAAACCCTGGTACTAGAAACAAAATTAGGTGATAGCCACTTTTTAATCTGAAAGAAGAGCCTGAACTAAGGCCATCTTATACATGAAAAACTATCCTTATTATAATAGTTAATATCTTTTCTTTTTGTTTTTTGTTTTTTAATTGTATTTTTTTGTCCTTTCTTTTTGGTACTGGGGACCCAAACCAGGAGATTGCACCTGCTAGGCAGGCATCTCAGCCCAAGTGAACATCTTTTTTAAGTTTACTTTATTGTTATTATAAAGGTGATGTCCAGAGGGATTACATGAGTCAGGTAATGATTAAATTTCCTTTCATATAGTGTCTTCTGTTCCCTCACCAAGTGAAAGAAAAAAGAACAGATGGCATTCCTACACCTTTTTAATTATCTCTTAAGTACTTACTTAACTATGTCCAATACTAAATAATGAGGGACAATATGGTACCATCAGTAAAATCAACCTTTAAGGTCAGATGGTACCTAGTATGCAATCGTTATTAAAATACATCTAATAAATTAGTAATTCATACTTAAGGTCTGAAATGTTCATTATAAAAGAAGCTAGTAATAAAATGATAGACATACTTAATTTCTTATGCTTCAGTCTTACCCACAAAAATGAGAAAATATAATCTGTCAAAGCAAAATATAAGACTATTTGCAATTAAAGAGAAAATTGTGGGTTTAAACATACCAACTGGGGCTGGGAAGGTGGCTCAGTGGTAGGGAGCTTGCCTTGCATGCATGAGGCCCTGGGTTCGATTCCTCAGCACCACATAAGCAAAAAGAAAAAAGCCGGAAGTAGCGCTGTGGCTCAAGTGGTAGAGTGCTAGCCTTGAGCTGAAGAGCTGAGTGAGGGGCAGCGCCCAGGCCCAGAGTTCAGGCCCCATGACCGGAACAAAAAAAAAATTAAAAATAAAAATAAAAAATAAAAAAATAAACATATCAGCTGCCACACAATAAGCAAACAATAAATGGTAGCTAACCAAGTTTATACCACCTACATGTATTAAGTACCCATGTAGAAAATACTGTACGTTAAAGAAGTATAGAAAAATAAACTGGAAATTTAAATAATTTCATCTTTTCTGACTCAATATATCAAAATGACTAATATAGTATAATAAATGTCACATTCTACCATTAGTAAAATTAATAAATATGAATAAGGAAAAAAGCTCATGATAGTTTTAATTGAAAAATACAATTATGATTTACAAAGAATATGGCTTTAACATATCAATTTTAATAAAGCTAAATATTTTAATTTTGATAAAAATTTTAGTATATAAGTATATTAAGAAAACACATCAAAATAGTCAAAAGTTATTTAACTCTTCTTCCTTTACTTTTCTACATTTTCAAAGTTTTCTACATGAAGCATTTATTCTTTCAAAATATCTGGGTTTTAAAATTTTCATTAACACAAAACACTTTTGAGAAAAACTTTTGACTTTATCAATTTACCTTTGGCAATTCCAATATTATCTTTCAACTGACACACAGTAACCAAGTTTATACCACCTACATGTATTAAGTAACCATGGAGAAAACACTGTGCTATAGCAGTTTAGATATGCTAATTAGATTACCCTGAGGGGAAATACTTATCAATAAGCCTATAAAGGAAAAAATAATAGAAACTCTGTTTGAAAATGTCATGGTTGTTGTAACCAATTCCCATCTCCATCATCAAATCAAAGCCTTTTTTTTTTGTCAGTTATGGGGCTTGAACGCTGGGCCTGGGCGCTTCTTTCAGCTCTTCAGCTCAGGGTGAGTGCTCTACCACTTGAGACACAGTGCCACTTTTGGTTTTCTGGTGGTTCACTGGAGATAAGAAACTCACAGACTTTCTTGCCCAGGCTGGCTTTGAACCCTGATCCTCAGATCTCAGCCTCCTGAGTAGTTAGGATTAAAGGTTGAGCCACTGGTGGCCGGCTTCTAAACCATTATTTTTGTTCACATACAAAGACATAATAAATCTGGATTTTGGACTGGGAAGTTGGCTCAGTGGTAGAGCGCTTGCCTTGCATGCCTGAGGCCCTGGGTTCGATTCCTCAGCACCACATAAGCAAAAAGAAAAATGCCGGAAGTGGCACTGTGGCTCAAGTGGTAGAGCGCTAGCCTTGAGCTGAAGAGCTGAGGGACAGCGCCCAGGCCCAGAGTTCAGGCCCCACGACGGGACTAAAAAAAAAAAATCTGGATTTTTTTTTAAAGTCTAGCTAAACTGAGGATATGGCTCAGTGGGTAAAATTGCTTGCCTCGCACGCATAAAATCCTGGGTTTGACTCCTTAGTAACACACACACACAGCAAAAAGTAAAATATTAAGTTTATAAAATCTAACCAAAAAGCCAATGATCTACTTTAAAAAATAGACTAATTTTGTGGCGGATGACTATAAAGCAGAAGCAAATGGCTTTCAAAAACAGTGGATCTACTGGAAAATTAACTGAACATTTGTCTTAAGCCTGTTTGTGTGTACATACACACATACATACATAAGAACAATAAGTTAAGAGATAAATACAATTTGACAGACTTACCCGTTCTGTAGTTGCCTCCTCTCCTGGTAGACATGCAGCAGCAGCAGCAGCAGCACAAGCTATTTCCATCATAGCTGAGCTGGTGGGAGCATCAGTTGTCGATGAAGACCTGGGTCGGCCTGTCTGTACAACAGCTGCCATCTCCTGGCCAGATTTCCTGTTGATCTGGGGACTTCCCTTTGGGGCTTCTGGCTTACCCCGCCTACTATGCAAGCTTGTCCCTCTCTTCATCTTGGGGGGCACTCGGATCTGCTGTAGAACACGATTCAGAGCTGTGGGGTGGGTGGGGACACCATCAATCTCAGCACATGAGTTCTGGCTTTCCAGATCTATTTCAGGTTCTGGATCTGTCTGAATTTGCTGCACATCGTGTGGCGACACTGATGACCTCCTGCGCTGGTGTTGGAAGAGATGCTTCAAGCCTTGGCCAATCACATTAATGTTCTCCAAAGCATTGTGGGTCATTTTAGATAACTTTTGTTCTGATTCTGTTTGCTTTCTGGCCTCTGCATCTTGGGATCTGCCTCCAGGATCAGGGTCCTCATATAACTGTTCACTGCCTGAAGGCTCCATCAGTAGACTTAATATGCTTATTTGCAAACTCAAAAAAACTTTAAGCACACCAAGACTGTCAAATTAGGTAGGCATTTGCTTCAACAGTGACATGCATGCAGCTGTAAGACGGTGGCTTCATGCCTATCTAATATTAAAAAAAAAAAAGAAAAGAAAGAACCTTATATCATAAATCCATGCAGAAAATGCAAAATGTACAGTGTTAAAACAAAGAAAAACATGCTACTAGCCAAACAAATAAACACTATCATTTAGCGATCTTTAATCAGAAGATTAAAAGACAGTTTTCCAGATAGTGGGTTATATTTTCTAGAATAAAAAGCCCAAGCCAAATAAATACAAGGGAAATGAAAATAACATTTAGGAAAAAAAATTCCTACAAGTTTATTCATACATATGAAGAACTGGATACTAGACAGCCAGTTTGGGGATGAACACCATAATAGTAGTTAACAGAACACCACTGCTTGGAAAATCTGGAGTATAGACCATCTAATATGCTTAGTCTAGCATTTAATTCCACTTCATTCATAAGCACAGCTATGAATGAAAACTCAGTTTCACTCATAACTCAGAATGAAATTCAGTATGCTGAAACTCAGTAAATTCAAAGAACAGTGAGAAGCAGACATCCCAACCTATATAGATGTTAGTGAAAAATGGTAATTGCTTATTACCATTCAGATTTAACAAGCTCACTGGCAATAAAAAGTGATAAGCTTGCTGTTTTGCTGAAACACAAACCACCTTTCTGATATCATTTGAATCAATGGTACGGACAGAACAAGACTTCACAGAGCCTAGAAATATCTGTCTGTGTGTGTGCATGTGTGGGCACACAAAGTACTGGGCATTGAACCCAGGGCCTAGGTACAATCCTTTAGCTTTTTTAACTCAAGGTTAGTGTTCTATCACTTAAGCCACAGCTCTATTTCCAGCTTTTTGGTACTTATTTGAAGAAAAAGTTTCACAGTCTCTTCTGCCCTAGCTGGCTTCAAATTGCATTTCTCAGATCTCAGTCTCTTTAGTAGCTAGAATTGCAGGTGTGAGACCCTAGGGTCCAGCTAATACCTAGATCTTTGCTCAGTACCAGCCATCAAAAAAAGGAGACTAGCACTAGGGAGGATAAGGCAGGAGGCTTGCTGAGGCTACACAGAAGGATCCTACCTCAAGAAAATAAGGTAAAATGAAACATCCCCAAAACAAAACACACAAACAAAAAACCTAAAGAAATCCCTTTCCCAAGAGAATCATCCATCACATAAGCTTCCCGTATACCTATACAAACTCAAATGCAGTGAAGTAGCGAAGTAACTATGTATGATGAAGAGGAGGAAAATAAAAGGTCAAACTGCAATTATATGACAGCATTAAGTGCAGGAATTTAGCTGAAAGATACAGGCGAAAGCAGCACAGCTGCTGTGATTAGTTGGTTAGTGAGATACATGCCAAGAAATGAAAATGGGCATGGGGAGAGAGGTGACAGAAGATAAAATTTTTCCTCAATAAAAATGTCTTCCCAGAAAGTGGTTCCCTTCCTCTCTTCCTTATTTCCTTCCTTTTTTTTTTGTTCTGTTGTGGTTCTGGAGCTTGAACTTGGGGCCTAGGCACTGTCCTTGAGCTTTATTGCTCAAGACTAGAGATCTACCACTTGAGTCACAGCTCTACTTCCAGCTTTTTGGCAGTTAGTTGGAGGTAAGACTTTCCTTCCCAGTTTAGCTTCAAACTATGATCCTCAGATCTCAGCCTCCCAAGCAGCTAGGGTTACAAGTGTGAGCCACCAATGCCCAGCTTACAGAAGTGGTCCTTTTGAGTTTACGAACTCAAATAAATGTACCAAACAAAACTGTATAATAGATGTTTCTAGAAAGAGAAAGCACAATATAGAAGGTTTATTTCCTTATTTTTCATCAATTTTTTGTTAAAAGACTTGAAACCGTCCTACACTACACCAAGTACTTTGCAGTGTATACTGGGGCTGTGTGGACCACTGTCATCAGGTGGCTATCTAGAAGCAAAGGGCTGGATATAAAATGTCATTGTAAATGCAAGGGTACTACCAGACTTCTGAGGAAGGGGAATGAAAACCCAACAGTTCTCTTTACAACAATTACTGACAAAAGACCATCTTCCCATTCTACATGACACTGTCATTGTGGTTTCCCACTGTCCCTATTCTTCCTTGTCTCTTTCCTCATCTCCTAACTCTTCAGGACTCAAAGCATTATCAATGATAGGATTACAGATGTTTATTTCTTATCAGTACCTTCCAACTTTCTCAACTCCAAAAAAATCTTTTGTTCTCAATGAGGCAAATGAAACACTTCACTGACTCACTGACACTCTTTGTGGTCCCTCTGAAACCTTATCATCCCACTGTGGTTTCTTAGCCTTCCATGTATTCCCCCCCCTCCCCCCTCCCCCCCCATCATGGGGCTTGAACTCTGGGCCTGGGCGCTGTCCCTCAGCCCTTCAGCTCAAGGTTAGTGCTCTACCACTTGAGCCACAGCACCATTTCCTCATACCTGTATTTTTGTCTGTTACCATCCCAAAGACACAGCAAAGAAAGAAATTTTTAACTCTTAATAGATTAACCACTGTCTTGACCTCTAGGTGCAGTTTCTGAGGTTCTTTATGGGCAAAAGTTTTTGCCTACAGTGAATGCATTTAATTACTCTCATCCCTCCTCATGAGTCTGTATGGCAGACTAGTAGTTACTGTGTTATTTCTAATCTCCTCATGTAACAAGATAATCCAGTAACAATATACAACAGCTGATGTCTTATTGCTCTGGGCCACTACTTACACTGAGAAGATGGAAGGATGTAAAACCAACAGGCTGACAGTGAAAGGTAGTTTCCATGTTCTTCATTTGCTAAATTAGATATTGCCAAATTATATTTTCTAAATTATATAAAATTGTATATATTAGCTAAACAGTATAACTGACTTGTTACTGCTGCAACTAAAATGTATGAAGTAAATTTATCCCCAAAAATTAAAACATACCATGAATAAAAGAATAGTGTTGATGTAGATAAGAAACTAAAGACCTACTTGAGTAATAAGAAAAAGTATTAGGAATTCCCTTCTCAGCATATCTTTCGTTGGGAACTGTTATAATCAATTTACTATCTGTTTGCTTCCTACTTAAAAAATGTTTACCATGGTACATCTTAATGATAAGTAACTGAGATATTTATACATCATTTATACTAGAAAATTTGAAATGGCTGGGTGCCAGTGGCTCATGACTGTAATCCTAGCTACTCCGAAGGCTGAGATTAGCTGTTATACATTGTTAATGGGTTACCTTGTTACACAGCCCTTTTTCCTCTGAGGAGATTAGAAATAACCCAGTAACTATTAGTCTGCCATAAAGACTTATGAGGGTAATTAAATGCGTACACTGTGGGCAAAACTTTTGCCCATAAGGAGCTTCAGAAAACTGCACTAAAGGGCTGGGAAGGTGGCTCAGTGGTAGAGCGCTTGCCTTGCATGCCTGAGGCCCTGAGTTCGATTCCTCAGCACCACATAAGCAAAAAGAAAAAGCCGGAAGTGGCGCTATGGCTCAAATGGTAGAGCGCTAGCCTTGAGCTGAAGAGCTGAGGGACAGCGCCCAGGCCCAGAGTTCAGGCCCCATGACCGGACCCAAAAAAAAAAAAAAAAGAAAACTGCACTAAAGGTCAAGACAATGGTTAATCTATAAAGTGTTAAGGATTTCCTTCTTGGCTGAGTCTTTGGGATGCTAACAAATAAAAAAGCATGTATAATTAAGGGAGGGTAAGAAGCCACAGTATACACAATAAAATGTTAAGGTACATATAACAAAACATTTTTAAAAAATCTCCTCTAGTCTCGCATGCTTCCTATCACTCATTTATATTTATATATCAATTACATTTAAAATTTATAAATGGCTAGGTGCCAGGGGCTCATACCTGTAATCCTAGCTACTCAGAAGGTTAGGATCTGAGTATTGTGGTTTGAAGCTAGCCTGCTGGACAACGCTGAGAAACTCTCATCTTCAATTAACCCACCAGCAAAAAGTATAGTGGAGGTGTGACTGCTCAAATAGTAGAGCACAAGCCTTGAGTGAAAAACTAAGCATGAGTATGAGGCCCTGAGTTTAAGCCCCACACTGGACTAGACACACCTAATACACCATAAGGCTACCGGAAACAAGCTGTTCTGAATTACTACCAGAAATAAGTGAAAAAAATATTTTTTTTTAATCTGACAAGTGTCCATGAGGGTGTCCTACAAAATAGTCACAAATTACTTACAAATCATCTTTGCCATTTTAATCCTTTAAGGCTTTTCCTGTGTTTTGGTTTGTTGACAGATGTGATGACCAAAGCTATTTGATTTGGACATGAGCCAAGTTAATTTCACTGATTACAAAGAGTTGGATACTTGCCTTCATTGTTCTTCCTCAAACGCTTCTAGGGTGCACAGGAATCCTTTCAGGAAAAACTGAAAAGCAAGCATTAAGAATTATAAAGTGAGAAACTTAAAGAGAGAATTATTCTACAGATATACAGAAAAAAACTGCAAGCATATAGAACAAAATATTAAAAATCCATATCTTCCACTAGTAGACAGGAGTAAGGTAAATTGCTACTACTTTTAGTATTAATTTATCAAAAATGTATTCAAGAAAAATTATAATCAAGGAAGAAGATTATGAGAGCTAGAGGTACAGCTCAGAGGCACTGAGACAACCTTAACAAAGTCCAGGCACTGAGTTCAAGTCCCCAGTACCATGAATTAATAAATAAATAAACAAACAAATAGATAAAAAAGGAAGGAGGGAGGGGGTAGAGAATACATTTGAAAAAAATATTAAACAGCACTTTAGAAGAAAGTCACAATATCATTAGTTGTACTATGACAACTATGACAATATTCAGTATATTACTATCATATTGAATAAGGAGCAGCCAGATATTCCACTAACCCTAGTCGTAAAGTAACATGAAATATAAAACCGCTGTTTTCTTTTCTTGTCTTTTTGTTTTGTTTGTTCATTTATATGTCTTTGGGAGTAGATGGGGAGGCACAGAAATGGATGGACAAAGGGCAAACAAATGCAGCAGTAGTACTCACTGGACATTATGTTGAAAA